CCCTCCCAGCTCCTTGTGCACCCCCAGCCTGCTCGCTGGTGGGGTGGGGTGAGGAGCAGAGAAGGCCTTGACTGTGTGTCAGCACTGCTCAGCAATAGCTAAAACATCCCTGTGTTATCAACACAGTTTTGGTCACAAATCCAAAACATAGCATCATACCAGCTACTATGCAGAAAATTAACGTTTTCCCAGCCAAAGCCAGTGCAGTAATTTTTCTTCTATTCCTTTGAATATTATTTTTTGACATTAAAATGTATGGTTGGGTCGTATGGAAAACGGATGGACTTATTTTCACTCCTTGACTAGCTCGCTATGCATTTTAAGCCTCTAAGTTTTCTTTGTGAATGACGCTGATTTCTGATATAACCCTATTTGTTGGAAAGCTCTCAAAATAGTTGAAGAAAAATGAGCTCTTAAAATAATGTTTATCAAATTGTTCTTGTTGCTGTTGCATTGTGTTTTACATGGTAGCTTTTGCCTTATGTTTTAAATTTTGGAGAAGGAAAGATTAATCATGTCTTGTATCACCTCCAGTAGATTGCCTTTGGATTTTTCCCAATTGTATTCCCATTATTTCAACTAATTACCTCATCCAAAGCTTTCAGAACTTTTATGTTTAATTTGCGAGTTATTGTTGAATTTGAGTAGTTAAAGAGCAGAAGAAAGAAAGAAAGAAATACGGTTTTATGTTCTGATCAGCTTTAAAAGAAAGGCATGAATAATTGACCAGTAGTGACTCGGGGACCGCGTTGTTCCATATAAAATGTAATAAAGAGTAGTAAAATGATGACGATAGTATTATTTGGATGCAAAAAACCATTAATGTTTTGTTTCCTGAATGCTTTTTTTTCAGTGCGTGGACCATTTGACAAGGATCCAAGCTGAATTACAAGAGACAGTAAAAGATTTAGCTAAAGGCACGAAGAAATATTTTGAGACTGAACAGATGGCTCAAGCAGTTCGGGAGAAAGCTGATATTGAGGCCAAGTATGTTTTTATAATAGCATATGGATAAATAATCGCATGCGTATAAAGCAGATTTGTACTTGTATTAGTTTTTACACTTGATACTGTTTTAGAAGAAAAATAATAGCTTTCAAAGAGCTTGTGCCAATTTTTTGTCTTTTTGCTTATCTATATTTTTGTAACCATTTCAAGCATGCTACTACCCTGGTAATAAAGTATAACTTATTTAGTCTGGTTTCTTCAGGAAGGAAGTTAAACTAACTGCTTTAATTTGACATTTTCAAAGGACAGTGTTGCGAGCTGGCACTCTTTTTGATATTAACGGCTGCTTGCTTCCTTTTCTGTCCACAGATCTCAAATTTGGTATCAGTCCATTTGGAGGGGGAGAGGGGATGGGATGCTATTTTCCATTTTTGAAGATAAATTTTTGAGGCATTAGGTTTTTATGCTCCTTGACATTCTAAAGAGGTTGATTTCCTTCCTTTCAGGAAAGCGAGTAACTCACGTGTGTTCAGTTTGGAGTTTGGCCTGTCTTACGGGAGTTTGCCTCACCCTTTTTTGCAAATTTATTTTTTTTTTATTTTTAGAAATTACTCAGAATTGTTCTCGGGGAATGAAATGAAATGAAATTATGGTTTCACTAGAGAATTTTTCTGTCTTTCACTTTATGAGGGCTGGATGATGAAAAGAAGAACTTTAATAAGATTACCTATAGTATCTGAAGAAAGTCAAAAAACCCAAACAACCAAACAGTTGAGCTTGGGAATTTTGGGACAGATTCATATTGCAGTATTGTTCAGATTAAAATAGCTATTTACTTGATTTTGTTTTCTTATTTACTTTTTAAACCACCGTCTTTCAAACAGCTAATAAAAGTACTTCTCTAATTTCTCTTTCATGAATCCCAATGTGAAAATCAGACCAATTCTGCTTTTAAAAACGTGTGTGTACATGGGTACTCCTCCAGCTTCCTGGAATATAGCTACTAATGATTTTTCATTAATATTCCCTTCAGATGACCAGTAGTTCAAATTTATAGCACTTTGTGTCTGGAGGGCTAACTCAAAATCCATCAAACACCAAAATAGTTCAAGTTGCAGCCGCTACCCAATTTCCCTTTTATGATATATTTAAATTTTGCTCCAAAATCAGGGTAAGCTGTGCAAAAGATTTCAGAACATGCAATGAAGCTTATTGATGTAGCTCAGCATACTTTGTAATATTTTCCTTGATCCTTAAGCTTTACTTAAAACTAGACAAATAAAAATTTAGGCAGAAAAAGTTACTTAAATTAAAATTTTGCAGAAGTGCAGTGGCCTGTTTATCCTGTATTTGTGTAGAAGTGGTGTAAGACAGTAATGTCTTCTGTTAATTTCTGTTTCAGGTCCAAACTTAGTCTTTTTCAGTCAAGAATAAGCTTGCAGAAGGCAAGTGTAAAGGTGAGTATAAGAAAAACTTAATGTTTTGCTGCTAATTTCATGAGGCATATGACCCAAGTTGTCTGGAATCTAGAGGTGACTGACATTTTGGAAGGTGTGTTGTTAGAACAAGTGATGAGATAAGAGCACTCTTTCGGCAGTCAGAGTGCAGAATTACATATGACCAAATTTACACGGAGATTTTTTCCAGTGGGAGTTAGAACTGTTCTTTGAAGACCGCATGTGAAATTACAACTGCACGAGAGAAAAATACATTAGAAATCCCCTTACCATTAACAAAACTGTTAAGCTATTAATCCCGTAAAGTTTTGACTATATTAATACATACATATGCATGTTAATTTACTATTAATACGTTTGGTCATTTAACTTCTCATTAGTACCTATCTTTTAACTTCCATTTCTTGTTGTAGTTAAAAGCACGACGATCCGAGTGTAATTCCAAGGCTATCCATGCAAGGAATGATTATCTTCTCACTTTAGCAGCTGCTAATGCACACCAAGATCGCTATTATCAGACAGACTTAGTAAACATTATGAAGGTAAGGAAGCTAATTTATGTATGGGAGTGGGGAAGTGTGAAAATCTGGAATGCAAAATGAGTGAAGTACAAAATCTTGGGTTGCTTTGCGACAGCAGTGTTGACTTTTCCAAAGTAGATAGATCCTGCCATAGTGTGCAGGATACTTGGTGCCAATTATCAAGCCCCAAAGCTAAGCAGTCATCTTTATTTTTTAATTCACTTTTTTTCTGAAAAACTTGGATAAAGGAGTCGAGTTCGTAAAACTAAGACTTGCATTTTCCTATTGTAGTTGACCTTAAGTAAGCTGGAGATTTTTTGGTTCTCCAGTAGCATATCCCATAATCCTTTTTTTGTATCTCATTATCTGATCAGAACATTTCTTTTTGGTATAAGTAATGAAAATATAACCATTAAATAACTTGGTTTCAAGCTGTGAATTTTAGAGAATAGCAGATCAGCATTGCTGTACTCACACGTGGCAGCTTGCCAAATCAAGCCAAGAGTAGATACTTGAACTCATAGGAAATAACATACTTAAAAAGCTCAAATATGATTGTTCACAGTTTGTTTTTTTTTAATATCATCCTAGAATTACTTAAATGTACGCTATTCCTGTATCTTAGAATTAAATAGCTACGGATAAGCTGTAAAATCCGTAAAATCAGCTATTTAAAGCTAATTCACACTTTATGTAGTTGCATTTCATGTATTGACATTTTCAAAGTTTATTTAAATTTGCTATCTACAAACTATTTCCAGGTGATGCAATCAGGCATGGCAACTTAGAAGTCTGTAAAGTGCATTTAAAATTGCTTTGTTGAAGAACTATCACTGTATTATCGGCATGCTTTTGCATAGTGGGAAAAAAAAATACTGATCTGAAAAGCAGGTAACCCAAGTAGAAAATGAGAGTGCCAAACGAGGCCTCCGAGGGATTCTTATATGTAATTCCATTATATCTTGACTAAGTTAACCACTCTTATGGCAATACCTGCGTGCCTCTTCGAGTAAATCACAGCCTGTGTTATAAATTCATTGCTATGCCTAATACCTGACTCCTGGAAGGCTAAATCAGATCTGGGGTGTCTCAGAGACAATGCAGGGCTGATAGTCCTTGAGGCAGCAGCCCTGTCTTTGCGTGTGTGCGGTTGTGCTTTTCTATTAGTAAAACATGAATATTTGTGCTGACTAAATGTTTAGTACATGGAAATGGTTATAAAGCAAATATTTCCTTATAATACTGGAGATAAAATTATTAATTCATGCTTACATACGATAATTCCATACTTACATGCATGGTTGGCTGTCATCAGTTAATGCTCTTACTTGGAAGTAACGCCAGATGTGAATTTAATATGTTCACAACAAAACAAACAGAAAGGACATTTGAAATAATAAGAACATGAGCAGATAGCCCAGGTAAAATTATGGCTGGCTCTGGTGGGTTATGGCTGGTCTCGTCTCAGAGCATTGTAACATAATCCCTGCAAAGAGATTCTCGTTTCCTCTGGATGTCTGGCTACATTTTGTGTGTTTTACAAACTAAGCACATAGTGTGCTGGGCAGGATCTTCATCTCTTTGAGTTTCCATAAACATTTATGGTTTTTGGATGGTGTGAGCTTTCTGTGTCGTGAAGTTAGAAACCTGCAGGTACCCCAGGAATGTGGGGTTTTTTTAATAAGTTGCAATAAAACATCAGACTGAAAACCGTTGAATCGTTTCTGAAAGACTGAAAAATACAGTAATGGAAAACAAAGTGATGCTGGTGCCGTTCCTTGGCATGTGTGCTGTTGTCCATAGATGTTCTATGTGCATGGGGTCCAGCTGCTAAAGCCGCTGCTGATCCATGGTGGTTTCTTTACCCAGTCACTGGGCTCCCTCCTACCCAGTCCTTTCTTTTGTAGAACTTGTTTTGAAGCTTTTTTCAAAGTGAACCTTTTTTTTGATATGGAAACCTCTCCGTGCAACCTATTCTTCTACATAAATAATTGTGGTTTACTGAAAACCTAAGTTGCAAGTACTTTCATTGAGCCAAATCACTTTGGAAGGAAAGGACAACATTCAGGGTTCTTTTTCTGCATCTCTTTGAGATATTTATAGTAGTTGAATCTCCTTGTCTGGTAAACAACTGTGTTCTTAATGAAGAACTGTAAATTTGGGGTTTTTGCACTGTTGTTCATGAGCAAAAATAGGTGGGAGCACACCCACATGTCCTTGCAGCAGGGTCCTCCTTTGGAGCAAGGGAGAGAATAAGTCAGCGGCAAGGTCTCAGACTGAAATGGCTACTGAATGCATTTTAAAAGCCGGGGGGGGGAACCCTCAGGAAAATCAAATGTAATGTATCACTGGGCTCCAACTGCATTCATCCAAGAGCTCTAATGTAAATTCAAACGTGTAACTGCTTAAATATGAACAACAGTGTGTAATCTGGTGTTAAAACCCGCCTCAGTGCCAACAGAAAGCAACAAGTGTGACCTTTGAAAAGGGCTCCAGGAGGGGCCCTGTGAATTAGAGATGAAGAAATCTGACGTCCCTACCAGGCAGGCTGATAAAACAAGTGCAGTGATGAATGGAGTCAATTCACATGCGGATAGATATAGAATCATAGAACCATAGAATCATAGAATAGTTTGGGTTGGAAGGGACCTCTAAAGGCCATCTAGTCCAACCCCCCTGCCGTGGGCAGGGATATCTTCCACTAGATCAGGTTGCTCAGAGCCCCGTCCAACCTCACCTGGAATGTTTCCAGGGATGGGGCATCCACC